ATATAGATACATATAGATAGATAGAGAGAGAGAGAGTAAGGGAGAGAGTGATAGCGATAGATATATAGATAGATAAGGATATATAGAGAGAGAGGAAGAGAGAGAGTGATAGCGATAGATATATAGATAGATATAGATAGATAGAGAGAGAGGAAGAGAGAGAGTGATAGAGATAGATATATAGATAGATAGATAGATAGATAGATAGATAGATAGATAGATAGATAGTGAGAGGAAGGGAGAGAGTGATAGAGAGAGATAGAGAGAGGGAGAGGGGAATGAAGATAGATAGAGAGAGAGAGGAGAGAGAGAGAGAGAGAGAGAGAGAGAGAGAGAGAGAGAGAGAGAGAGAGAGAGAGAGGTGCTACCTGAATGTATTTACATCTGCAAAATAAAATCCGTAGGCAATATCTGGCGAAAAAAGTTCAAATGTCATTTCTGTCTATCTTCTTTTGAAATAGGGAGCCAAATGCTTTTCCAGATTCTGTTTAAGCGGGGAAAATTTCCATTTCCCTCAAAGCGAGCCGTTATTTCAACTATTCCTGTTTACAGCAATAGAAGTTCGTGATAAGACGCACCTGAACGATAAATACCAGTGAAGCCACCAGGCCCAGTGAGCTAAGGTTATCCGATATAGTTTATTGTCGAAATCTCTATATGTGAACCACGCCCTTTCAGGATATGGGTGGCCATAATTCTCCACAGATTCCACTCTCTTGTCGCTCTCATCAATACTTTCACCTTCATAAGATTAAATTAGATTCGATTAATTTACTCATTGATTTCACGGCCTTCTTTTGCCTTCGATGTGTTAAATTCTCCAAGCCATCTTTCTATTTGCTACTAACAGTTTTTCTTTTGTAATTTTTACATTCTTTAAAACTTCCTCATTTATCATATACCATAGCCATGTTATTTTTCAACATTCGTCAATAAAAACGAATCTCGATCATTTGATTTTTTTTCTTTATCTGTGCCGAGTAGACGAAGAGGAATTTACATTGATAATTCTGTTTATTCATATTTTTACGAATTTATAACTGCGAGTTTTATTTACATAAGAATGGGAAATGTAGAGTATAATATACAAGCAATTAGATTGTCAGGAACATGGACACACTTAGAAAACGTGAGCAGTATGGTCGGCGTTTTCTATAGCTCCAGGAATTACCAGTTTTATCTTAAGAGGAGTTAGATGAGATCAAAAGCGGAATTTAACTGATATAACTGGGCGAGAGCTGTTTCGGTTCATTCTATCGCTCCAGAGAGTACCTGACTTCTTCTGGAACCGAAATAGGAATTCTATGTCTTGGCTGGAAATGTTTCGGTACATTCTATCGCTCCAGAGAATACCTGACTTCTTCTGGAACCGAAATAGGAATTCTATGTCTTAGCTGGAAATGTTTCGGTCATTCTATCGCTCCAGAGAATACCTGACTTCTGGAACCGAAATAGGAATTCTATGTCTTGGATGGAAATGTTTCGGTACATTCTATCGCTCCAGAGAATACCTGACTTCTTCTGGAACCGAAATAGGAATTCTATGTCTTGGCTGGAAATGTTTCGGTACATTCTATCGCTCCAGAGAATACCTGACTTCTTCTGGAACCGAAAATAGGAATTCTATGTCTTAGCTGGAAATGTTTCGGTCATTCTATCGCTCCAGAGAATACCTGACTCTTCTGGAACCGAAATAGGAATTCTATGTCTTAGCTGGAAATGTTTCGGTCATTCTATCGCTCCAGAGAATACCTGACTTCTTCTGGAACCGAAATAGGAATTCTATGTCTTGGCTGGAAATGTTTCGGTACATTCTATCGCTCCAGAGAATACCTGACTTCTTCTGGAACCGAAATAGGAATTCTATGTCTTGGCTGGAAATGTTTCGGCACATTCTATCGCTCCAGAGAATACCTGACTTCTTCTGGAACCGAAATAGGAATTCTATGTCTTAGCTGGAAATGTTTCTGTCATTCTATCGCTCCAGAAATACCTGACTTCTTCTGGAACCGAAATAGGAATTCTATGTCTGGCTGGAAATGTTTCGGCACATTCTATCGCTCCAGAGAATACCTGACTTCTTCTGGAACCGAAATAGGAATTCTATGTCTTAGCTGGAAATGTTTCGGTCATTCTATCGCTCCAGAGAATACCTGACTTCTTCTGGAACCGAAATAGGAATTCTATGTCTTGGCTGGAAATGTTTCGGTACATTCTATCGCTCCAGAGAATACCTGACTTCTTCTGGAACCGAAATAGGAATTCTATGTCTTAGCTGGAAATGTTTCGGTCATTCTATCGCTCCAGAGAATACCTGACTTCTTCTGGAACCGAAATAGGAATTCTATGTCTTGGCTGGAAATGTTTCGGTACATTCTATCGCTCCAGAGAATACCTGACTTCTTCTGGAACCGAAATAGGAATTCTATGTCTTAGCTGGAAATGTTTCGGTCATTCTATCACTCCAGAAAGTAACTGACATTCTTTATCAATACAAGAGTCAGATTAGACCAAAATGGAATATCACTGTTACGTCTTGGAGAAGTTTCGGTTCATTTTATCACATCAGAATGTAACTGATTTCTTTTGGAATGATTTATCTTTACAAGAGTCAGATTAGACCAAAAATGTAATATGGCTGCCATGCTTGAACTGGGCCTGTTTCAGTTTATTCTATCGCCCCAGAAAAGACCTGACTACTTCTGGTTTGCTTTATTTTTACAGTAGTCAGAATAGATCAAAATGGAATATATCTGCTATGTCTGGGCTGGAGCTGTTTCAATTTATTCTATCGCTCCAGGAAAGACCTGACTATATCTGGCTTGATTTATTTTTGCAAGAGTCAGATCTGGCCATAAATTCCATATCCGTGCTGGTCATGTTCAATCCTCCATTTTACAAAGTTGATAGTTTTTCACGGTTATTGAAGTGGTCTTGTCGGTGATTACTCCACAAGCTATTCCCTGTAAAGATGCACCCTTTATGCTACTGGTATGGTAACTATCTAGGATGAGCTACAATTCTACCAATTGCGAATTTTACATTTAGAACATGCTCTGCTACTTCTGCGGAGTCGAATCATCCTTATTTCCTCCGTGTTCTAAGTTCCTCTCAGATTTCACCCGCGATCAGTCACTTTGTGGATCAAACACTGCACCCTCTGCTTCCCTGGACGCGTCCTGGATATGACGATAGACTACATCCGCGTCCTGGGTAAGACGATAAACTACATCCGCGTCCTGGGTAAGATGATAACCTACATCCGCGTCCTGGGTATGACGATAAACTACCTCCGCGTCCAGGGTAAGACGATAAACTTCGCCCAACAGCAAAGCCTCCTATAAGAAGGTTTCGAGGAGCGTAGAACGACCTCTTAATTGCTGGTGTTCCCAGGTCCACCCTGACCCGGTGTGGTAGCACCTATTAGGGTACCAGCTATGGACAAATAGTTAACCCAGAAACTGGGGTAAAAAAAAGCATTGTAAAAGTGTAAAAATAAGTTTTAATACCAGAAATACTTTGAAAAAAAATTATTACCAGAAATTAATTTTTGAAAAAAAAAATACCAGCAATACATGTGATTGTATTAAAAATATGAGTAATTGATAAATGATTCAAATATATATGTATACATATACACCTTTTTTTTTACCAAACTATTGCTATGTATCTATTTCAAAAATTGTGTTGGCACTGAGGTTGATATGCCGTAAAACAAAACAACCAACCTACCGTCCCTGGACGCTCCAATATTGATCTCTTCAAATCCAAGTTTTAATTGTTATTATTCCCCCTTATTCTTGCAATTTTAACTTCTTAAATCATACTCTTCAATTCTTGTTGCACTTATCATTCACTATTAACCTTTTAGTTAACTCTAACAGTTTAACTAGAACGAACTTCGATCCATGTACTTATAGCGTGTGCCATTAAGTCAATGAAAGCTCAGGATATCACGATTTCAAAAACAAATCTGTTTTTATTTCCAATCATTTCATTTTTTTTCATTATATGTTAAACAGGGCGCAGCTGAGTAAAGAAAAGGAATATATTTTGTGTTAGTGGTTGGCTTTCTTGTTCAGGCTAGATAGTAAATGCTGACATTTTAAGCAGGTTAATCGTCCCTAGTCAGGAGACTGGATAAACAAATATATCCTCCCTCTATTTTCTGTAATCTAGTCTTAGAGAGAAACAAAAATATATTAAAAACCGTTAGTTGTTAATTTTAAAGTAACCATATAGCTACATGGCATTGTGTCCATTCAGAGCGATCAAGACTCTCCACGTCTTTGTAATGTTTCCCTCTTTACCATCCCACTGTATCCCAGATCTGCCATACTTTGGTGATGACAACGAACACTCGTTACTACTTTAGTGATGTCAACGAACACTCGTTGTCACTTTCGTAAATGCTGTAGTAAAAACTTTGTAATCGTAGATAGAACTATAGTAATGCCGTTGAACAATGCTGGTGCCAGACGCCTTCGAATATCACTCGCACTAATAGTACTTGCTCGATAACACTCATTAGAATTGTAACTACCGAATAGTGATCAGTATAGAGAAATAGTATAGAATATAGAGTAGAAATAGTGCTCTGAATAGTAATAGAGGATAGAATAGAAATGATGATCCGTATTGTAAAAGAGGATAGTGTAGTAATGGTGATCAATTAGACGCTACGCTAATTCTCATATATACATTTCCTGTACCATCACGTTATCTACTTATTCAAAATGGGATCGCCTGTGTTTGCTCCTTTGCGATCAGTGTTCAAACTCCAGTGTCAGTAGCGACACTTTATTCTTATATATTCACATACAATATTTAAGTAGCTTACTCGCTGTTTCCTTGTATCTCTTCTTCCCTCAATATGCCTTATAAGTGTTAAATTCTCCGAGCCAACTATCCTCATTATGTGTCCCATTAAGGTCTTTTTTATAATCCTAACAACAAGGGTCTTTTTTCGTTTCTATTTTACTTAAAACTCCCAGTCGTACGAAACACTGGTTCCTGTACGATCACCAAAGTTAAGCAATGTTGAGCCTGGTCAGTACCTATATGGGTGACCTGTTGGGAATACAAGGTGCTGAAAGCTTGGTGCGCGAGTGATGTAATCGATAACGGCTCGGAATTGGAAATCGGAGAATTGATTTCCAAATATTTATTTAAGCTCAAATACCCTTCGGAAAGATATGAACCCATATCTGCCCCCACCTATGAGTTAAATAGTCGGACTTGTATCTGTAACTCATTACTATCTCTAAAATTTCATTACAATCCAAAAAGAATTTGCTGGGTGTAAATAATCTGCAAAAAGGTTGATAAACCGTCAAAAACAAATCATTCTTTCAAAAAACCTACTTCCAGTCGATGTAGTCGTAGAAGAATAAGAATCTACGCATTATAACTATTTATTTTATTTTATTTTTATTATAATAGTGTGTTTGTCTCGCACGTCTCGACTATGGAACTCACTTTCAGATTTATACCTTCACTGTTAACTACAATCTTAACAAAATGTAAATGCAAAATCAATCGACATGTTCTGCATCCTGGTAATCTGTATTTTATTGTTTATTTCATAAGTAACCTTTTCTCAGTTTCATTTTCTGTACCTATTGTCTTTCATCCTCAGTAAACCCTTGCATCTGAGTGGCTTTATCTCGTTGCTTGAGGTGGAATGATAAAAATTCTGGCTTTCAAGGATGTAGTTCAAATCTCGTTTGGGAGCTACTTATTTTCAGCTATTTTCTACTTACTAAACACTGGTAGAATGTAAGATACGCCTGAGTGTTAACAATGAAGAAAAAAATGTCACAGAAATTTGGACAATTACAGACAGGTCATCTATTCTTGCACACAAATAGTCACCTCTGCGAGAAGAAGAAAATTAACCTCCAATAGTGTATGATCGTCAATCGAAAAAAAACCCCAAAAAACAAACAAAAACGAACCAACCAATCAATGAACTGTGTTCATTGTCAAGGAATTATGATTGGTTGTAATTAGAGCACGACAATGTGTTGGTTGATTATCTCACTTGTCTCTGAAGATTGCTTTTGTAATTTGCACATTCAGTCAATGTCTTTTCGGATTCTATTCTTTAAAAAATGCACACAGGCATTCAGCACAGCAAGAGGTAAAAAAAAAGCGTCATCGACAAATGAAAGACATGAGTAAATTCTTCAAAATTGTCTCAGAGTAGTCACGACTTTTTTTTACCATGCCATAATGACTTTAAGAAACTTACTGAAGTATATATTTCTTTTTTATTATTGTCGATTCATTACACATCCCAAGTGTCACTCAAGGTAGAGGTTCACAAAATGGTGATGACAAAAGGGCGAAAAGGGAGAGAACAAGATGTACATATGAAAGGTGTACGTGTGCAAGGTAGACAACAGTTAAACCTCGGCGTGAAGAGGCCAAGATTTTAGTTATTGGGAAGCATTATTTTGGAATTCTGTTTGACAATGGAGTCGTTCTGGGGTAGAAGCTATTTGAATGGTTCTTCCTCCCTACCAATGGAATATGAGGGGAATGTGGATCTGGCATGGCGACTCCTATGTGGAACCCTGTTACAGAACTGTAGAAAAATGCTATTATTTAAGCCCTGAAACTGGAAACTCACTTCTTGTACAAAACATAGAAATTGGATCATTTTGGGACATGGAACAGCTCAAAAATTTGTATTTTTGAATTCATATATATTAACCAATCAGCGACTTCATATGTGTCACGGTAGTTTTTGAACATCAACAATATTTATCCTCCTTAAAATGGATATTTAAAAATTGGGAATGAGATAGATAGATAGATAGATAGATAGATAGATAGATATATATGAACAGAATTAGATAGATAGATAGATATGAACAGAATTAGATAGATAGATAGATAGATAGATAGATAGATAGATAGATATGGACAGAATTAGGTAGGATAGATTGCTAGATAGATAGATATGAACAGAATTAGATAGGTAGATAGATTGCTAGCTAGCTAGCTAGATAGATAGATAGGGAACAGACTGGATATTTAATAACTGAGAAAATATTTACTAACCAATAAACTTGAGATTAATAAATCTAATTTATGTTTTTTTTCTGGAGTCTATTTTTTATGTTAAATATTATTAATTTTTGTTCGCTTCTTAGTTTTTCAGTTAACCTTTGACCAGGGTCCGTTCTTTTGTTATACAAATCTGAATTTCTCACGATTCATTTTTCACATTTTTCGCATATTTATTCGACTATATAATATTACAAAAATGCTTAGCAATAGTGACACAAAAGAAAAACTTGCAAGTTTGTTTACGAGCGTTAACAGTAGCAAGCCAGCTTCCCTGCATATTTCATGCGGCCGACACTCACAGTTTATACGCATATATAAAACAATTTACATCCGTGTCACACACATTCTCACATGTAGACGCATTTTCTTTTCTATTAATGCAATTCATTCGGTTGTACTTTAACAAAAGATACACAAAATATTTTGTGTGAAGTTGTTTCGCAAAGAATACTTGTAATTCATTTCTTTTACTTTGAATGAAAAATAATACTCAAACAATGACAAAAAATATTTAGATTTTTAGAGCCGCGTTGAAGATTCGCTTTGTCAACGCATAATTGGCTACATCTACCGGTGAACGTCTGCGATGGTAGAACCATAAATTGCAGCTCGCAGAACCATCTTCCATGGAAATATCAGTAGACTAACGCGAAGCTAGTAACGTTTTGTCCGTATGAAAGAGATTGTAGAGCAGAAAAAAACATCATAACCTACAAGACAGCGCAGGCGCTTTTGAAATCGATCAAGATTCGATATTTTGCCGATTCTCCACAATTATTGGCTTTTGTTTGCAGTTTATAAAAACCTTGGCCGAATTGTTCTTGGGCCCTCTTTATTCCTTCACGATGGGGTCACCTAAATCAAGCAGTTACTGGGGTTTATAGTGGCAGACGAGGAAAAATGTCTCGTATAAAAGCGTAGTGGAATAGCAAAAAATAAATAAATAAATAAATAAATAAAATTAAAAAATAAAAATAAATGAAAATAAAATAAAATAATAAAATGCCTTACAGAAACTTAGCAAAGTATTAAGACGCAAGAACATTTACAAGAAACAAAGAAAAATAGTATTGAAATCTCATATTTTTTCTTTAAGCATTTCATCCCAAGCAAGGCAGGAGTACCACTGGTACGCAACGGGTTACAGGGACTGAAAGTAACAGAAACGTCTGGGTATAGGCGGCGGGAATTGAGGAAAGGATCAAAAGATGAACGGGGATCAAGGCCTCAGAAGATGTCGATTGACATTACATTTAAATTTTTGAAGATTATAGTTATCAGGGATGCAAGTAAGAGGAAGGGAGTTCCACTGTTAGGAAGTGCGAGAGAAGACGCTGATGGACTAGAAGATGCGGTAACATTTAAGTTTCTACAGTGAAAGGATCAGACCGAGATGCCAACCTAGTAGCACGCTTAAATCCATGCTGTCGGGGCACCAGTGAAGATAGCTCATTAGAGCAGTAGCCATGAAAATATTTATAAAAAAGACAGAGAAAAGTCACACTACATTGTTGGGAAAGTGACTGGAGTCGAAACACCAAGTCAGGACCGCTTTTTAGAATATTGATAAGACTATCTGTAACTTTATTCGAATAATAACCACAATCTATGCAGTTTAAAGATGCATAAAAGATAATATAATATTTTTTTAAGCATTTCACCCGAAACAAGACGGGAGGGCTACTAGAGTTAGAGAGTGTGAAAGTATGAGGAAAGAGGGGTGTTTGAGGAAAGGATAAAGAGAAAGATGGGGATCACAATCAATGCATCAGGAGATGTCCATTGACATTACATTTAAATTTTTGAACATTAGAGCTATCAGGGAAGCAAGTCAGAGGAAGACAGTTCCACTGTCGGAAATTGCAAACGAAGAACCTGTTGGAGTAAAAGAGGCGGTTATCTTTAACTATTTCGACAATAAAAGGGTGGGACCGAGCTGCCAACCTAGTAGCACGTTTAAATTCGTGCAGTTGGGGTACCAGTGAAAGTAAGCTCATCAGAACAGTTGCCATGAAAATATTTGTAGAAAAGACAGAGGGAAGCCACATTACGTCTGTGGGAAAATGACTGGAGGGGAAACACCAAGCCAGGATCGCTCACATTACATATCTTTGGATTTTGTTGAGAACCTCCAGATGAACAGTGGGTGCACCAGACCATATTCAATGGTAAAACAGTGAATGTTAAATAATTTTCTCAGGGATGAAGCGACTTAAAGCGACACAGATCTGGTTTTATCGACGAATACCAAGAGTACCATAGACAGCACATGTATATGACGAGGAAGTTTTAAGGTGAATAAAAGCTACGATGAAACGTATACGTACAATCAGAAAGAGAAAGCTGAAATTTCTGGGACGAATAACGAGGAAAGACGTCCTGGGAAATTTATCACTCATATGGTGTACTGAAAGCAAGAGAAGCAGGCGAAACTGCGAGTCAGCTACTTAACGAATATATGTGGATAAATGGGAAAATGGGGAAGAAGTGGGATGGAAATGTTTAGAAATCACCTAGAGCCACAAAAGACAGAAATTAAAGCTGGGTTTTGTTTAGTTTGTTTTACGGCATATCTACCTCAACGGATTATTTAATGCTGACAAAATTTTTATTGTTATAATATTTTTTTCCAAAAAAGTATAGCTGGTAATAATTTTTTTTCAAAAATGTATTGCTGTTAATAATTTATTTTTTACAAAAAATATTTCTGTTATTAAAACTTATTTTTACATTTTCATAGTGTTTTGACCCCAGTTTGGAAGGAACTACATGCCCATAGCTGGGACCCTAACAGGTTCTACCACCCCTAGTCAGGGTGACCTAGGAACACCAGCAATTAATAGGTGGTTCCATGCTCCTCAAAACTTTCTGATCAGAGGCTTTACTGTTGGATGTAGTTTATCGTCTTACCCGGATGTAGTTTATCGTCTTACTTTGAACGCAGATGTTGTTTATCATCTTACCCAGGACCCGGATGTAGTTTATCGTCTCACCCAAGACGCGGATGTAGTTTATCGT